CTATCCATTCGGGGGTTTACACTTTACTTTCGTAAGGACGACAAGCTCTACGAGAGAGTGTAGAGGCTGGCTGGCTTGGGGTTGGAGGTTCATGGGGATGCTTTACGGGGCGAGACTGGTCTTTCGGCTACAGCCGGCGTGGAAGCATGAGTTTCAGCTTCAACCCCTGCAAGGAATAAGTTTGGGATGGTTTGGTCGCCATATACGGCGATGTGTGGGAGAGAAAGAAGTTCAAACCTAAACCCTAGGCCTCCTACAAGCACACTTTCACAGCTCATCGCCATGGTACCGTGGGCTCCAACCAGGCCTGTCGTAAGATAAGCCCCAATCCAAGCTTTCAGCTTTTTAGGCCTCTGGAGTTCAGGGTTAACGATTATTGGGATTCTGTAAAACTTGGTAGTAGTACTCTGGCCAACCTTTTGTTTCCCTGCGTATGGGGGAAGTAGGTAACTGAGTGAACTGATCTCTTGCCGGCACCTTTGAGCTTAGGGTTTCGGGACGTAGGCAAACCTGCTTAGGGTTTTGGCATCGATTTTCAGCCCCAAGATACCTCAACACCTAACCGCAACCCTGAGCCCTAAACCCCTAACCCAACCCTGCACAGCCCCAATAAGCTCCGATCCCCCAACCCAACCCTCACCCCCGGCCCCCTAGTCCATCTCTGATCAACAAAAACTAATACACATGAAACGAGTACCAAGCATTTATGGACTGGTAATACTGATAAGAAACTAAGAATCCAGCTGACCCTAGATGCGCAAATGATAACAATCATGGCATCATAATGGTGACGATAGTAGTCGAAATGCCTATATTTAGGCAAACTAGCAAGCCAAAGCTGGGTTCCAAAACAAGGCTTGAGCTCGGTCAGATGTCGAACTACCAGTGTGGACCTTACGAGGGCTTGCATAATTGGAAAAGGGTACGTTTCATGTTTCGTTAAAGGGTTCTGTAAAGGATCTACAGTAGGGTACTATGCTATCGGGGCCTTAGTTCTGAAAACAGGGCTTTGGGCGATAGTGCATTACACTTAGATGATGAGCTAAATGAGATATTGTTACTATTGTGCGAATCCCGTCTGACTTAGGGTTACGAGTTTATGCTAAGGAACTTAACTGAACCCTAAATCCGAACACTTGAGCGGTTCTGGGGGCGCAGAAGCTCAATGCGATCATAGCTCAGCAGGAGGTTTAGCCGTTGGCGTTTGAGGGATTGATTTTGGGTTTGGTGTTGGCATATGCTCCTTGCTTCAGTGGGCTTGAGGGTTTAAGGTCTGTTGTTTGGAGGTTTGGGGGTTCAAAGCCCATAAGCCTATTGGGTTCAGGGACGGTGTTTCGGTCTTTGATCGATTCGGGGGCCTTGGACGTTCTGCCGAAAGCCTCCACGGATCAAAGATCCCATCCGCATACAATTTTCTCGTCAGTGTCACCAGTCAGAGATAGCTGCGGGTTCACTTCCTTTCCTTCTTTGCACAGCAGTTTAGCTTTACTGCTCCCAATATGTGTCGTTTGTCTGTTTCATTGCACGAAATACCACCATCAATGAAGCACAGCGACATATTTCTCATGGGTGTGCTCTTTTGAACATGTCTCACCTGCTTCGTGAACATGTTCAGACTTTCCACCTTCGATACGTCTCCGACGCTGAACCCCGAAAGCTATTCGGGGCCGTGTAAGTAAAAACCCTGAAGCCTGAACCCGGGACCCTAAACCCAGGTATGTCGTAGACAATGGCAAAGAAGCCGTTTCCGTGGATGCTGCCTGGGATATCGCGCGCTTGCAGCGGTACCTGCAGAAGCAGGACCTGAAGCATCTGGCCTTCACATGCGTTGCTGTGCTTCAGTTTAGCTGTAAAAGGTATGGAAAAAAGCTCCCACTTCACATGTGAGTTAAGCAATCTACCGTTGGTTCTGTTCTTTTGTTAGGACCGGCTTTCATTGTTCTTGCAGCAGCACTTGGGGGCAGGCCCCAAGGACGAGAAAGCCTTAGCCCTTCCTATTTGCATGGTTGGCCCGTGCCATTGTGGCGGCAGCACACGCAATATGAATATGAGCGGTTGTCAAAATTATGGGCCCTTTTAGGATCCCTTAATATGATACGGCGCCTACTATTGAGGGTACCAAAAAGGGACCCCAATTGTGACAGCCTTCAAGCCTCAACCCTAAACGGCTTAAACCCTAAAGCCGCAACCCCAACCCCTAAACCCCACAGCCTTCAAGCCTAAACCCTCTACCCGAAGCTCACAACCTGAAGCCCTCCCTCCTACATCCTGCAACTGGAAGCCTCAATCTATCCCAAGCCTTAGCCGGTATAGGGTTAGGGTTTGGGTATTAAGGGTTTAGGCTTAGGCTTTAGGGGTTTATCGGGCTTACGGCTTAGGATTTGCCTGGTTCCCAAGCTCTACCTAAACCCTGAAAACGTCACGAAGACCGTGCAGTGAAAACTGTGCCGGAGCGCAGAAACCCTGGGCTGTTTAAAAGCAACATTAGTAAGTCTTTAGTAAGTGTACTTTTGCGGTACTTCAATGAGGGTGTTTTTTCAGGTTACTACAAAGTATCACAAGGGCACTGCACGGATACTGTAAGGGCATTACGCTACACCCTAAAGCCTGAATCCTCAGTTTGAAGAGCGACAAGCAGCCAGAAGCACCTGCGACCCCAAGTCCTAGAGCCGCTGAAGCAAGCGAGAGTTGAGGCTCATCGCTCGCCGGCCTCTAATACAGGGGGTCTAGGGTTAAGGGTTTAGGGTGCCTTAATATGTACCAATACTATTTCGGGGTAATTATAAAGGCCCCTACATGAAGCCAGAGTTGAGGCTAATCGCCGGCCTCTACACCCATGGCCACTTCGATCACATCGGCGGCTCTGTCCCAGGACCCTGCCGGGGCTCGAAGCAGGTACCAGGGCTCCACGGCTTGAAGGTGTCGGTCATAAGAACTAAACCTGAGTTAATATAGGGACCTGAATAAGTCCCAAAAGTATTTTGGGGTTCCTTGGTATAGTTATAGCATACTGTGCCCCAAATCCCTATTCTAGTTATTAAGGCCCCTATGTTAATTATCCCCGAAAGCACTCCGTCACTAAGCCCTTTTGCAATTGATGCCTTGAGCCCTAGATCCCCAAAGCCGTCGCATCCACTGTTTTCCCCATAGGATCGCCAGCTACCCCACTACCCGGAGCTGTGGAGCTTCACAAGTCAGAGGTGCCGGCTGAGGGAATGAATTTTTCACGTGCGTTACGATTCCAGAAAACCCTATAAACGGGATCCCAGTAAGCTTTATTTGTGGTTTGTGGTTCCTCAAGGTCCTCATAAGGCCCTAAAGTCGTATAGTAGGGAGCACTCCGAAAAATGTTGAGCGAAGGTTGTTATCATGAGTCCAAGGGGCTAATATAGGGGCCTGTATGATTAGAAGAGGGTTTTGGGGCCCAGTATAGTATAGGTATAGTAATACTATTGGTAATTACAAATGCCCCTCTTTGGGGATTTCCGAAAAATTAGGGACCCTTTTTAGTACCCCAAATAGTAGGATCCTCATTTTAAGGACCCCACAATAAGGTACCCCTAATTTTCGGAAACTCCCACATTAGTTTTCGATTGTGCCTGGGCCTACCCGAACCCCCCCCAGCCCAGTTTACCAGGTTGGCTCGGCCCAAGGGTTCAGGGTTTCGGATTTCGGGAGCCCTCACAAAGTTCCAAACACCCCCATAAGCATCTGCCCCACATTGAGGGTTCATATGACGTTAAAGAACTCTACACCCTAAACTAAAGCTTCAAACATTAAACCCTATCTGAAGATTATTATGGGGTTTAGGCTTTGGGGCAAAGCCCTAAAACCAGGCAGTTTAGGCTTCAAGATCCTGACCTCGGCAGGTGCCTCTTTTTCTTGGGGCCAAGGACATCGATGCGGCAACGCTGCAAACAAAGTGGCCTGGTGAGCATGTTGTGGTTTGGGACTTTAGGGTTTTGGGCTTTTGAATGCGAGGCTTTGGTGTTCGGGTCGACTTTTGTTGTGTGCGGAGTTCCTGGATTCAGGCTTCAGCGACTGGAATTATATGGGTAGTTGTCAAAATTAGGGTTCTTTTTGGGTCCTGAATATAATACGGCACCTCTTATTTAGGGTACCCAAAAAGGGACCCTAATTTTGACAACCACCCATTTAAGTACAAGCTTCTATCCCTTGCCCGGCATGCTAAACCCCCGAGAACTGTCACAGGGGCCTTCAGAACACGGTTTGGCGGTATAACGGTACAACAGACATGTACATTACAATACATCGTAGCAAAATGCGATAATGTGTTACGACCTACCTTCACATACTATTTCTGGTTGTTTTGGTTGCTCCAGTGCAGAAGCCCGACCCTGCCCACGGCACCCAAGTTCAAAGCCTTGGCGCGCAGGAGGATCAGGGCACTTAGCAAGTAAGCTTCGATCAGGTTAAGGGGCGCATTTGGTTCGAAGCGAGAGGTGGAAATGCAGTGTTCTTGCACGGGTTTGGGCTCAGAGGATAGAGTTGGAGTTTACCGTTTAAGGGGAGTCAGCGACTTGCTTTACCCCTGTCGATCATGTGATGATCTCTCTAAAGCTTCAGCAGTATTCTTCCTCTGTTGCCAGGTATTGGGCTCTCTAGGTGGCTCCGGAGTGGTATATCTTGGGGGCGTTCCTTATCATGGTTATAGTATAAAGAAATACCCCAAACCCCTATTCTCATTCTCAGTGCCAAGGCCCCTATACCACAGGACCCTAGAGCTTTCGAAAATCCGCTAAACGGAACTATTCTCATTGTTAATACGTCCCCGATACTACAATAAACCTTAAAACCGAAACCCCTAATCCCTAAACCCCAAAGTCTTAAACCCTGAGACCCTAAAACCCTAAACCCCCAAAGCCCCTAAACCCCAAACCCTAAACCCTAAGCCTTTATATCATAGAACCCTATTATACCCTTAACAGGAACCCCCATTCTAAGTATTAAGGCCCTTTTTCGACGCACCTTCCGCAGCCATGGTCCCAACGCCCCGCTCGCCTCGCGCTCTGCCGCCTCCAAGCGCTGAAACACCGCAGAGCCAAGCGACTGGGCTCTTGGTACCCGTCGGGGTTTATAGGGTTTAATTAGGGGTTTAGGGTTTACGGTTTAGGGGTTTAGTAATTAGGGGTTTAGGGGTTAGGGAGGACTCATATATTAAGGCTTTTGGGCCCAAAGACCATACTATATAAGGCTTTTGCGCAATTTTGATCCCTAGGGGTAAGGATTCGGATTTAGGGTTTACGGGCTTTAGGGTTTTATGGTTTAGGGTTTGGGGGTTTTAGGGTTGAGGGCTTGAGGGTTTAGGATTCAGGTTTCAGGGTTTAGGGGGGGAATTTCGGCTAATGTATCAGACTAGGGATCTCGTGTATAGTAGTACAGTGAATAGTACGGTTTCTTCACCATGGTAACTTATATGAAGGTCAGCCACTTTATCAGAGTAGGGATCGAATGTAGTTATAGCGCAGAGTATAAGTTTATCATGATAACTTCTGCATGAAACCCTAAACCCTAAATCTTAGACCCTAAAGTAAAAGCCAGAAAGTTGGAATATGATTATCCTAACCCATTCTACCATGAATCCATATTCCAACTTTCTGGAGTTCCCTGTAAACCCTTAACAAGAGCCCAGGTGCTGCCAACGGATTTGCCCAAGGAGCTTCTGCGCGGCGTGGCCCTACACATCGCTTTGGAGGGCTTTGCAAAGCACTGGCGAAGTGGTGGTGGCCAAGATGAAATGCTGGAGCTACTGGGCTCTTGTTAAGGAGTTTAGTTTAAGTTACCATAATGAATAATGGTCTATAGTACATGTTATGGTTTCTTCGGGTATCTGAAGTTTAACTCTTCAACCAGCACCCAGGCTCAGCCGACCAACTCCGGTTTTGGATGCGTTCGTTAGCCATGACTGGGGCACTTCCCGCAGGGCCAAGTATTTTACCATGCTGATCATCTACAACTCCCGAGTTGCTTTTCTCGTGTCCGGCTATGTCAGCGTGCTTTCAGCTATAGTCAGCTTGAGCTGGACAGGAAGGAGTCTCGGTGTCAGTAGCCGGAGTTGTAAACTGTCTACTTACTTCGGTGATGGTCGGTATGTACCACTCTTAACACTCAATTGAAACTTGTTTAGCTTCTGAATTATGACCTCCGCAGCCAAGGAGTCCACTTGGATTCTTCGTGACCTTTGTGCCCTATACTCCGCTCACCTTCTACATCTGCCTTTTCTTTTGGCAACCCATCCGCGCCTGCTTTGCCCGACCATTTCTGGTTTTTGTGGACAAAATGTGCATTTCCCAGAAGGATCCCAGCCGAAAGGAAGCCGCCATCATGGGCCTTGCCGCCTTTCTGTTGAAGAGTCGTAGGATGATCATCCTATGGTCCCCGAAGATGCTCGGCTTGGAACTCAAAAGGGTGCTTGTCAAAATTACGGTCCCTTTTTGGGTCCCTATTATGATACGGCACCTAATATTTAGGGTACCCAAAAAGGGACCATAATTTTGACAACCGCCCATATGGGAGTTTCCGAATAGAGGGACCCTCATACAGTATCCGAAATTGTAGGATCCGTATTGCAAGGGCCCCAAAATAAGGTACCCCTATTTTTCGGAAACCCCCCATATTCAACAGTATCTCTGTCGAACTTTCAGTTTTTAGCAGTTTCGGGCTTAGCTCAAGACCGATTAATACAGGGGCCATAATACTTAGAATGACCCAACAGCCTTATATGATATGGTCTGCAGGCCCGAAAGCCTCAAAATATGAGTCCTTAGAGCCTTAGGGTAAGTATAGGACGAAACAACTGCCACGTACGTTGGCAAGTGCGACGGCCATAAGCTCGAAGAAAGGGGCTGTACCTCGAAGACGCACTACGAAAACCCTAAGCCCCAAAGCGACCCGAAACCCTAAACCGAGATCCCAAACAAATCTGTGCCGTCAGCCACTTTTGACAACGAGTTTGTAACATCGAGTAGAAGCAGGGACTCACTTTGAGGTCGACCGGTGTAGGGCTTGGGGTTTCCACGGGTTTAGAGTTTGATGGCTGGGCTTTGGTGTTGGGTTTGGGGCTTAGAGGGTCAGGGTTTAATGTTTAGTTCAAAGAATGGAGTTTGGGACGATGAGATGTCGCCCGCTTGCTGGTTCGCATTTCCGATACGCACGTGTCCGCCCAAGGTATTTCCAGCGGTTGTGGTGCACGTCTCTGGACCTTTCTTGAGAAGACTTTCATTCTAGTACAGGATGTACGTACATCTGTCTTTGCACGTATACACACACGTGATAGTCCATATACATGTGCATGCATAAATGCCTTATGAACAGAGGCATGCATAGATGAATAAATAATCACACATGTATGTGTTTACATGTTCGAGTTATAGTGTACATCTGCTTGTACACATACTTATGGAAGACAACAGGACGTCTTTGCAGGGCATACAAGATCTATCCAGGTATGAGCTTGGGACGTTCCTGCAACATCAAAGTGCGGATGACCCAAAGGAGCTTGAGATTATGCCTGTGGCACTGGGGGTGATCCTGCTGGAGCTGAGCATTTTCACACAAGGAATAACCTTTTGCATCTACCTGGGGTCAGCCATAATTGACCACGTTTTTCTCCTAGGCTTGGACTTGAGCTACGAGCTGTTCTTTGCAGCCATTTGCGTCGTCCTGCTGTTTCTGCAAGTTCCCTGCTCGACGCTCTTGAAGATGATGCATGACCTTGAGAAGCTTCCGGACCAGTTGGCGCAATTCAGCATGCGAGATTCTCAATGCTTCTGTTGTTCAGTGGATCATTGTCGTTCGGAAACCGGAGAAATCATTCTGTGCGATCGGCAGCTTGTATACAGTACGATACGGTCATGGTTCAGCGAATCAAATGCTGAGCCTTTGGATGCTTTTGATAGAAATGTACGGACGAAGCTCAAGCAGGTAGTTACAAGTCAGCTTGGTTCTGGTCACCTGCCTGTTCCCTACTTCCTCTACATGACTTGCGCTCCCTTCTTCCTTTCGCTGCCCTGGTACATGAAGGACATTATTTGGCCTTCGGACATGTGGCTGATGCAGCAGCCCTCAGCGAGCAAAGATGTTCTGTGGAGGATAGGTCGCTGGGTTCTTGTTAAGGATTCAAGGTAGCCGAATAAGGGAGCCAGATTGTATACTATAGATCCCTATTATGGTAACTTAAAGAAGAACCCAGGTCAGGCCCTGGAGTTGCCCAGCACAGGCTTCGTGATCGTTGCAACTATTCTTCCGCTTTGCCAGCTCGTCCACCTCACGTGTGGCAGAAAATGCTCATGGCTTGCCTCTCTCTTCCTCGTGGTGCTGCCAGTATGTGCGGTTGCAGCGGCTGCATCGTTGATCACTTTTCCGTTGACGGGCTATGCAAAGCTTGTCGCGCAGCTTTGCAAGCTGAGTGTTGGCATCGGCATCCTCTTGACCCAAAGTCGCCTAAGGCGTTGCTGCGGAAAGGACTGTCAGGGCGGAATTCCTAAACTCCGAAACCAACCCTCTTCTCAAAGGAATTGAATAAGGTTGCTGTGGGAGTTTGAAGATGTTGCAAGGCATGCAGGCATGTGTTGCTTAGTACAGTGGATGTTGAAGTCCTCAGGCAGTATAGACTCTTCTTGAATAGCTACCAAGAACACTCCTTCAAGAATCCGTTTCTAAAAACAGCTTGCAACACGCCAAAACGAGGTATGCGGGCCCCTTTATTGCAGCTCGACTGCCGGCACATTACTGCCACCATGGCTCGCCTCCTGAGTCTGTTTTTCTGCCCCAAAGCCTGAACATCCCGATTACCCAGATCTTCGAATATCCTTGAACAAAGGAATACACATATCTTAAAACATAAAAACCAAGAGGACCCTAATAATATTTGAGGTAAGCTCCACAATTAAGCCCCTCAAAAAAGCCACCGCTGAACATGATGATGGTGATGATGGTACAGATGGTGATTGCAACAATGGCAACGACGGTGATGACGATGATGATAGCAATGGTGGTGGCAGTGATGATGGCGAGGCGATAGTTGCTGCGCAGGTACATTTTTTCCCAGACCTGTCCTCGCCCTACAAACCTCAACAAACTTGCCCCAACCTCCAAAATCATGGGCCCCACCGGCGTTTTCGGCTTCTCTCGTAACACTGGCTTCGCTGCCCCGCTTCACAGTAAGTTCAGATCTGCTTTTTGCCCAACACAGAAAGCCCACTGCTCGACTCATTAATGACATGATGATAGCGATTAAGAAAATGATGAAGTCGATGATGATATCGATGGTGATGGCGATGGTGATAACGATGATGATCCTAGCGATGATGCTGACTTTGCGATTCGGAGGCGAGTTGGAAAAGGTTGCTGCGCAGTTACCTTTTTCCCCAGACCTTTCTTCGCCCCACACACCCAAACAAACTTGCCTCAACTTTCAAAATTATCGGCCCCACCAGCAATCTCGGCTTCTCTGGTAACCTTCACAGATTGCAGAAGATCCTCAAACCCCTGAGCCTAAACGTTCCGTACCCCGAGGCTCTCTCCGAATTGCACAGCCATTGAATGTAACCCCGAAAGTAGCCGTCTCAACAACCTTCCAAGGAGTTCTACTCGAATTGACAAGGCCTCACACTGCCCCTGCATCCCGACCCCTCAACCCTAAACCTTTATGTCAGGCCATAAACCAACGCTGAATCCCCAAGCCAAGGTGATCCGAGAGGTTTGGGATGTTTTTCAAGTTTCCCTTGCTGTTTAACGGCCAGCCCCAATAATTAATCAGTTTGGGGACTGTTTTGACATCGACACCTGGAATTACAACCTTACCATACCCTAAACCCTAAGCCCTGAAATGTTCTGGTTTTGTGTTATATAGATCCCTAAAAGGAGCCCTTTAAGGATCCCTTGAAGGAGCCCCTAAGCCCCTGAACCCGGGAAGACCCCAGCTGTGCACTCAGCGCCTAAGATAGATAAGCCCAAAGGGTCCTATGTAATGTTATGGGGTATCCTTCCCCAAATCATAATAGCAATTCCTAATATAGAAACCCTACATTCTACAAAATCGGTACTTTAGACCCTAGTTCCTAATACAGAAACCCTACATTCTACTATATCGGTACTTTAGACCCTTTGATAAGAGGCTGCCTGCCTCGGCCTGGAGCCCTCTGAAGGAAGGACGGAAGCTTCGAGATGGGATTAGACTTGTAGGAGTTTAAGGTTTGGGCTTTAGGGTTCAAGCATGGAGGTTTAGGGTATAGGTTTTCGGAATTGAAAGTCTGCGTGCAGGGTTTGGGTTGGCTAATGAGGCAAATGTAAATATACGCCCTTGTCATAGCTACATATGTGCGGTAGGTTCGCGGCAACACTCTATGTAAAGCTTGTGCTTTAGAGCACTATCCTGAACGGATGCCGTAAACCTTCAGCCCTACATTTTTTTCATCCATATCCCCTTAAATGTCAGCATCCTGCTCGTTTCGGACTTTGGTTTTCTGCAAGAGTGGTTCCTTTAGCAGTCATATACTGGAACGAGGGGTGTTTCGGCTTTACGGTTCAGTCAATGTCGGGGTGCAGCAGTCTAGGTTTCTCATAAGGGCTTGGGGTCAGGAGTTTAGTGTTTAGTCTTTGGTACTAGTCTTTAGAGTTGAGGGTTTTGACTTGGGTTTTAGGTGTTTTGATCGCGGAAGGAGACACACTCTCGCTGCTTGGAGCGGACATGCCGATCTTGGTGAGACTGGGACTCCAACTGGAGGAATGGGGTACAGTTATCGCTACTATCACTACCATTCTTCCATTCCCTACTAACCAAAGGTAAGCTTGTGCAACACGAAACCCTGTAGCCAATTCCTAGGTAGAGGCTCAGGGTACTTGAGAAGTACTGTTATGAGGGCTTTAATGGAGCTCAAGTAGGAGTAATTTCAGCTGAGCTTTTCTCATATAAACCAAAAATAAGCATGGGATATTTACATAAATAGATGTGTATATATAGCGCACATATTTATACACATATGTATATATATATATATATATATATACAGAGAGAGAGAGAGGGAGAGAGAGACATACATAGCCTTCGTTTCTATATCGCATGATCCTTCAAGTACGTCTTGAACCTTGAACCCGGCTCCGCCGACATCCTCAAATCTGAATTCGTTTCGGTCTCGGCGTTTCTTCACTGCAGCTTGGGCGCGAAACCTTTGCACCCTTTCAGTTCTTGTGCCATGTGGGTGGTTGTCAAAATTATGGTCCCTTTTTGGGTACCTGAACAAATACAGTAATAGGTGCCGTACTATATTAGGGACCAATAAAGGGACCATAATTTTGACAACCACCCATGTATACGGCCTTGATGTAGGGTTTAGTCTTCAGGGTAGAGTTGACAGGTTGGCATGCAGAGTTCTTGTGCCATGTGTAGGGCCTTGATATAGGGTTTAAGTGTTCAGGGTAGACTTAGGGGTACTTAGAAATAATTTGTATTTTTGGTTCTTATAACCCCTAAGAAACAGCTAAAATTGTAATTTTCGCTAGGGTTCTAAGTTCAGTATAGATGTGGCGGAAGGAGATTCCTGGTTTTTACCTGCCACCGTCTATAGGCATTGAAGCGAATCTACTGGCGCACGGGCGGAGCTGAACCCCCATACAGGCCCTAAGCGAAACAACCCAAAGAGTGGACTTACCCAAAGACTGTACCCCTCAAAGAAAATATCTTGAACCAGGTTTGGTTCACTAATTTCAGGATTTTTTTGGAGCAGCACTGGAGTCTGTCGGTAATATAGGGGCTTGCATAAGTGGACCAAGGTTTTGCGGTATGTGATCGATTCTAACTATATGTGAGTCATGAGCATGCGAAGATAATGCAAGTGTTCTTGCCACGACTAATGTGATTAGTTCTGTCATCTTTGCTATTGGGACAATCAGTGTTGTTAAATAGTTGGTAGTACCCATGGCTACCACTGTTAAGATTTAGTGTTGTTAATGTTTTTTTACCCTTAGGTTTTAGTATCAGTACTGTTATTAGTATTGGTATTGTTGGTGTTATTTTGGTTATTGTTGATATGATTGTCGGTTCATGAATCAGGCTCACTTGAGTGTAGCGGCCTTCTCTAAGGATCGACTCACCTGGCCACACTGCAGGCAAGGAGGTTTGTGTGGCTCATGCTTTTTTTAGGCTCAGCGCTTCAGGGTTTAATGGTTTAGGCTTTAGGGTTTGGGGTCTATAGGTTTTCGGGTTTAGGATTACGGTTTAGGGTTAGGGTTTGAGGTTGCGCGCAACAATTTCTAGGTACATTTGAGCGGGCATTTTACACAATAACCCTAAACCTTAAACCCCTAAAACCTAAACCCCCAAACCCCTAAAGCCCTAAACCCCTAAACCCTAAACTGTTTCTTTTGACGACCATGTCGGGAGCTTCGAATCGGTTTCGAGTTTTGGTTTAGGGGCTGAGGGTTTTGGGATCATGGGCTCAAGGATTACTTGGAGGGTCGGGGGGACTGAGTAAGTAGGTAGTAAGTAGACTTATAAGTACCCTAAAAGGGACCCTAATTGGGGTTATGGTACTTATAAGTCCTTAAAATAGCCAGTTACTAAGTCCCCCGACCCTCCAAGTAGGGGAGAGAGAGCAGGGCCGACCTAACCCCGAGGGTCCATACCACCATTTAGGTCTGAAAAGCCCATCCCCATGGTGATTTTTGGGATTTCATTCCATAAGAGTAGTGTATACCATTTAGGTCTGAAAAGCCCCATCCCCATTGTGATTTTTGGGATTCCATTTCATAAGAGTAGTGTATATGAACCCTCTTGGTACAGTGAACCCCCCCCAAAAAAAAAGTAGGTAGACTCGTGCCCCAACATATGCAGGGGCCATTCTTCTGCATGTGTTTGGGGTTCGGGTAGGTTTCACTTAGGGCTGCGGGTTTGGAGTGGTGTAGTGCAGGCCGGGATGCAAGGCTTAGCGTACGGCCGAATCGCGCTTGGGATATAAGAGGGAAACCCCGAACCCCAAACCTTAAACCCCCAAACCCGAAACCCTTAAGCATTAAACTACTAATTAGACCCCTAAACCTTAACTCCCGAACCCAAAAGCCCTGAACCCTAGCCCTAAACCGCTTAGACCTAATTCAGATTCGGAGTGGAGTCCCCAGACCTTCTGGTGGTCGTAGTCAGGGATCATGACTACTAACATTTGTATGGTACATTGCTCATTCACGGTTTAGGGTTTAGTGATTTTTTGGAATGTCTGGGTCCCTGGCAGTGCAGGCGGCATCACCTTCTGGCTGCGCGGTACTGGCGCTTCGGATCAGACATTCCAAATCCGGTAGTTTCATAGTATGTGATAGTGTGCTATACAGTATGATTTTCTAGGATAACCATATCTCACAGTAGACTATCGTGGATTTTAGTGCAAGAAGATAGGAGGATCGTGATGTTCCAGCTTTCTGCCATCTACTGTATAGTGCCCCTTTATAAACCCTGAACCCTAAACCCGAAACCTATAGTATCTACCACGAAAAGCAAGGCCCAGACGTTCGGGCAGAATGCGCAGCAG